AACCGGTACACATGGATAAAATTGTCCCTTCACTGTTATTTAACATGCATACAATGAAGTAGGTTAAATATAATTATTTTCACTTAAGCATAAAGAAATTAGTTTTAAAATTAAATGTGTTATTTTAATAATGTTTATTTTAATGTTAAAAATTCAAGAGCTATGGTAAAATTTCATCTATTGTAGTAAAAACATGTTTTTTCCTAAATTTAGCAAAATGATATTATCATATTTCTGAATTAAAAATATATTATCTTTTAAAATGAAAAAAAGATCACAAGTAAGTATTTAAATTAAAATTTTGTATAGCCTGAAAAATTAATATTTTACATAGATGAGTTATTTTCTCAGATATGAAAATTTATTAAATGTTTTCTAGAATTTATTGTACATATTATAACTGGAGTTATATTGGTGGCTTTTGCGCCCATGACTATATATTAATAAATAAAATAAATAATTAATAAACATAAATTTAACAATAATAAAAATTATTTATTAGTGCCAAATCTGATATAGTGACAGATAATTTAATATCAGAAGAAGTAAATGATAAAAATGACTCTTATTCTTTGGCTGAGTCTTGTTTGCGCGAACTTATTGGAAGAGCTTCATTTGGACATGTAAAAAGTGTTATACGCCCCGTTCTTAAGTATGGTTAATTTGGATTATTATATTATAAAGTTTATTTAAGTAATTTTTTTCTTTTAGACACTTAGATGCCCATCATATGTGGGTACCAAATGCTTTTGCAACACAATGTTTTAGGATTTTGATGTTTTCCATTCAATCTCAATATTCATATGCTGTAGTTGAAACTTTAATGACACATTTGGATGAAAATACCAATGCATCACCTAAAATTCGTACTAGTATTGCTGATGTTTTGTCAAAGATAATCGCTATTGCTGCTAATGAGAGTGTTGGACCTACAGTTTTGGAAATTATTAATTCTTTATTGACTAATTTAAGAACATCAGTCACTAGAAGACCACAATCTAATATTGGTGTTGCCGAATCAGATGGAGAAAACGAGTATCGGGAAGCACTTATTCATGCTCTTGGAGAATTTGCAGCTCATCTACCAGATTATCAAAAAATAGAAATTATGATGTTTATAATGTCAAAAGTTCCTCAGTTTAAGTCTTCAAATAGTCCCAATGATCTTCATGTTCAGAGAATGTGTTTAAAATCACTTTTGATGGTAATTTATTCATAATACTTATTTTTAGTTGAATCATTTTGACATAATTTTGCAACATTTGTTGTTACCAAGTTTAAAATATATATGTTATAAAGAATTCGTAATTATAAAAGTGTTAAAGCTTTCATGGATTGTCTTGTTGCTTGAAAGCTTAAGAATGTAT